AGGGACTGTATTTGAGTCAATGAGTCGGTGCAATCAACTGGTTTTCCTTAGATAGAAAACTTTGTATCAATTTGACTATGATCTATTGACCTGTAAAGTGCCTCAAGATGACTTGTGTTGTGAATTTAGTATTAATAAACTGAATTGAATAGAATTGATCACCTTGTTCCTGTGGTTTAAATGTTCTTTTAATCAGATATCCATGAATATATAGGAACAGAGTGTCAGCGCCAACCAGAACCAGTTTTAACTGGTTAATTTTCAATTCTTAGCTGCATTGCTAATTTCCCCAACCAGAAGGAGAAGCTGCTGAACAAAAAGCGATCTGTAGAAGTTTGTGCGGCAGCATTCCACATCACGTCTTAATGTTAAAGACATGACCAGACGGCTAGTTGCAACAGTTGCGACAGGATTTCATCATGCGAAGGACATTTAAGGCCAACATGATTAAAAACCCCAGAGTCAAAATAAGAGCCTCGTCTTTGACCCTCTTCACCGGCTTTCTGCTCGGGTAGATTCCCAGAGGGAATTCTTTCCCCCTGCATTCACCTTTTTCACAGAGAGAATTTCCTTCCTTTGCATGTTTTAACAAACACCTGCATCATTTTTATAACATGGTTGTTAAATAATTTTAAGCCTAACATTACGCCTAATTTCATCGTTCTTCTGTTCATTTAAATAAATCATTACTTCCACCTCTAGGTGAGTGGAAATGAGGGGCAGTGAAGAATGCTGGGGAAATAAATTCTGTCTGGATACGTTCCTGGGCACAACACAGCCGTTTCCTCCAGCTCTGACACCAACTCCACAAACACCCTCAGAATCAGGTAAATAAAATTATAAAACTGCTTTACAATATAGAAGTAACTGGAGCATCAGATACCGGATGTATAAATGTGTCTTAATGAGGGTTTCAACAAGAAAACACGGTTTCTGCAGCCGTTACACTTCTTAAAATCTGATGTATGGACCTCATTTCAGTGCAAGTTTAAAAATGTTCAGTGTAACCAGCGTTTGTGCTTTCAGTTAATGGATCAGTGTTGAAAAGAAATTAAATGTGGTGTAGCTTAATTTAGGTAACTGGCCGAGCTAAAAGAGGCTAACTGTTAGCTACTTAGCTAAGCTAGCTAATTCAATTCAGTTCAGTTTATTTATATAGCACCGATTTACAACACATGTCAGCTCAAGGCTCTTTCCAGTTCACCAGATCATCCAGTCAGATTAATTCAAAGTTTTCTGTCTAAGGAAAACCAGTTGATTGCATCGACTCATTGACTCGAAGGCAATCCCTCAAACTAAGCATGCTTGTAGCGACAGTGGAGAGGAACAACTTCCTTTTAACAGGAAGTAAGGAAGACAGAGTGCTCCCCAGGTCTAACCTTTATAAAATGGTCTTACAGTTACTTTCTCCCCCCAAAAAAAGTTTTTTTTATCCATCAGGTTAAACTTAATTGATTATTAGACACAATGCTGCATTATGTTATTGTGGCCACAATGTTTTACATCACCGTGGCAACATCCAGCCAATCATATGGTGTATAGAGCGCCAGGCCAGAGCAGATCTGGTACCTAAACCAGCCTAATTTTAGCGTAGTGGCACGCATCCCTAAAATACGTTTGCAAAATAACCCTGTACTGGTTATGTAATAATAAAAAGCTAAATGTTCCTAGAAATCAAACTGATCTAAAAAACACAGTTTCATCCACATTGACCTCTGCTTTACTAGCTCATATAAAACATGAGCCTTCCTCTCAAAAGAATAAACGAGAATAAATAGAAACCGGAATCAAAACAAAGAGTCAGAATCATTCAAACCCTACAGCTCCCCCTCCCCCACTTATTGCTGTGCACTGCCAGTCAGCTGTTTTTATACCTTATGCAATTAAACTTATATTTCAGCTCAGGGTTATCATACAATTAAAAACATCTTACTGGTTTATTCCTCCAGAAAACATCTTCAAACTGTTGAAATTTTGCAGACTTAGCAGTGGGGGATGAATTCTTTAGTTCCTGATGAATGACTGTGTTGGTTCTGATGTTATAAATATATCAGGACATCACGAGTGCGTGTGTGTTTGTAAGGGAGAGAGAGAAAGAGCCATCCAGCTTGGTTTTTGTTCTGTGTTATTTTTAAACATCTGAAATGAAGGTTATGTAAGTGGGCTAATCTGGACTAGGCATGCAGCATTAGAGCCTTGTAGACCTGCTGTGATTGAAAATGCCAGAGGATGCTGAGCGGCTGTCCTAGATTAAGAAGCCCACAGTTGCCAGTGAGTCAGACACGAATAAACACAGAGAAATGCCAAAATAGAAAGAAAAAAAAAACGCTTGAGGGTTGTTTTTGATTTTGTGTAATCTGACAACCCTGAGTGTGAATCAAAGCATCGTTCTCCTAACCCAAGCTGAAGCTCAGCAAGCCAGAAAATACCAAAGGACAGATTAGAAATCCTTGATGTTTCACTTTTATTTTTATTTTCACTTGGAAAAACTTTACTATCTTCTGACAAGGAAAAAAGAACAGATCATAAAGAATGTTTCTGTACGTCATCTAGCTGGTCTAATACTGAAATGGGTGAATGAAACAGGCACAATGGTAATCAAGAAGGTTAAGATATTTAAAAATAAACACACTATGATGATAACCCAGCCAGGGTGAGCAAAATAAATCCAAATAAAGTTAACCCTGTAATGCCAAATGTATCATATGCCAGATGGATTTGCTGGATCTGCTCCGCATATCCATCTGGAAACCTTCCGTTGAAGTAATTTTGGGAAGGG